GAAACAAAAAAATTTAAAGATCAAAATGGAACAAAAGTGATAGTTAAGGTACGAAACATGTAGTTTATCTTACTTTAAACTGTTTAAGTATTTTTTTTAATTAATAATTGGTATCTGATCTAATGATCGACTAATCCATATTAAGTTTTGCATAGAGGAAGCGGCCCTTTGAATCGAGTTTGTTAAATTCACAAACGTCAAAATTCGAATCCTTTACATTACCAAAGGAATCTAGTGTCTCATATCCAGGTCCGGTCCTGATATTTTAAGGGCCTTAGGTCAGGAGGTGATGACAAGAATATAAGTGGGACCCCACACTTAGTTTTTCTTCCAATCATTAAAATAGAGCTCATTGGATCATCATATTTTCGAGTTTTTAAATAAAAAATAATGTTTAAAAATATTTTTTAATTATTAGGGCTCACTGAATTACCATATTTTTGAGTATTTTAAATAAAAAAAATACGTTTAAAATATTTTTTTAATTATTAAACCTAACAATATTTTTTAAAATGGCCCCTTCAAGCTTGGGGCCTAGGCGATCGAACCCCTGGCCCTGCTCATATCACAATATCACATGTTTAAGTAATTTTAACCGTGGAGTACGATAATTTGATAAATTATTGAATATTTTATTTGATGGAGAAAATATATATTTAATATTTCTTTCTTATATAGGTTTGATGAACATGTTAAATCTTTTACATAATTTTTTTAAACAAAAAAATAATTGCGCGTGATATATAAGTAGATAATTGTAATCATAATGTTAAATTTATTTTTTGAAATAATAATATATTCAACTTATCATATTTAAATTTCATCTAAAACTATTTGAAAGATATAGTCTTAAACTCATGAAATACAAATTTTCAAAACTATAAGAGTTGCTTTTATCAACAATATAATTATGTTCAACAATTTTTACTTAATCATTTAAAAAATGTCAAATTGGATAAATAATTTGATAACTATGATGAAAAATGAAAATGTTTCCTTTTTTAAAAAAAAAAATTATATTCAAAACATTTATTATAATACAGGACATTTGAATTTTTTGAAAATTATGTAAGATTTCATACCAGCAAGATTAAAATCCAGAAATAACTAATTTCTAAATTTTAAGATTTACTTTTATGAACAGAGTTTCTCGATTGGAAGAACTTTGGGATATGTGTGTTTGAGATTTTGGTGAATGGGATGTTATTTGGTTGACCAGAGCTTGTGAAAAATATCTTATTGTGGAGACGTGTAGTCATTTAACTCATAGAAAATATGCTTTGAAATAATGAGAAGTTTGTAGATAGGCATTTCTTGAGTAGGCTTGTGTAAGGCAATTTTGAGTTGGGTTTTGATTCTATTGTGCCAAGATTGGGAGTTTAGGGGCCATGGTGTGTGACTTTCTTGTTTCTTTATATGTTAAAAAGAATCTAAAGTGGTTTCTAAAACTTTAATGACAATGAATTTTGATTTTGTAATGTAATAGTGGAAAAGCTTTAATTTTTTTTGGGATAAATAAGCATTTTATTACCCAAAATAGCAAAGTTTGCTACAATCAATCAACAAACAAAAAACAGCCTAATTACACAACCAATGATTGGTTAGACTATACCCTAAGCTTTACAAAGGAAAAAATTAGTTCTATCAGTCTATTAATGGCTTTGTCCTTAAGACGAGCATCAACCACGTCGACGATTTCCTTAAGAATATCGTCAACAGATCGGAAACGACCCTGAAATAATCTCTGGTTTCGTTCCTGCCACAAGAAGTAGATGAGAGCATTCCACGAAATCTTCAAAATGGTGGTCAAGAGGGATTTTCCTTTCCAAGAGGAACAAGCACGAGTTACCATTACATCCCAAATCAAAGGATAATAATTCATCCCATTCATGCTAAGGATAGATTTCCATATACCAACAGCCAATGAGCAATTAGAGAAAAATATGATCTCTAGTTTCTTGATGAATGTTGCAGTTGATACATAGTCCATCCGTGCAAATTCCCATTTTTTTGCAGATGATCTCTTGTAGGTAATCTATTCAATATGGCCTTCAAAGCAATCAAGCTATGCTTTGGAATATGCATAGGATACCAAATTAATCTCTGCCAAACAACCTTCTGCACTTGCATCCGAATGTTCTCACATATTTCTTTAGTATTCATGAAACCAGAACCAAAAAGCGGAAAAACAATAGGTCGCAATTTTAAAATCCTTTTGAAACCCCAACTAATGTTTGTTCCAGCCTCGAAATGCCAGAAATCCTGCCCTTTAAGCACGCAATTGTGAAGCCACGCAACCCACAATGATCCTTTACCAACAAGAACCTTTCTTATGAGGCTGATAGTGCATGCTCTGTTCCAAATTGAAGTATTAATCAGACCTAAACCACCTTATGACTTAGTGAGGCACATACAATCCCAGCTTACCCGAGCTCCAGCAGTAGGCTTGTCATCGCCTTTCCAGAAGAATCGTGCACAAAGTTGGTCGACTGCTTTTAGAATCTAAGCAGGAAGAACAAGCTGCTTGCACTAGAAATTACTGATATTGAACAGAATGGAGCGAATTAATTCCAATCTGTCAGCGTAACTGAGGTTCCGAGAAGACCAGTGGAATAATCGTAATTTTATTTTCTCAAGAAGAGGTTCACAGTCCTTTATAGTGAGCTTGCGAGGAACTAATGAGATACCGAGGTATCTAACAGGAAGAGAACCATACTTGAATCCAGAAAAAAGCTTAATATCCGCCAATTCCCTTGATGAAATACCTGCCGTAAAAAGCTCGCATTTGGAAGAATTAAGCTTTAGTCCTGAAAATTCATAGAATAGATCAATAACGCTTAAAACATCAACAACCGAACCAATATTACCTTTGCAGAAAATCAGTAGGTCGTCAGCAAAAGAGAGGTGAGAAAGCCCAATCTTCTTGCATTTTGGGTGAAAAACAAAGATTCCTTTTGAAGCAGCCAGGTTTAGCATTTTGGAAAGCACGTTCATAGCAAGAACAAACAAATATGGGAAAGAGGGTCTCTCTTCCTTAAGCCCCTTGCTCCTTTAAAATAACCAATCAAAGTTCCATTGAAGGAGATTGAGTATCTTGCTTGGAAAAAACATACTTCAATCCAAGCAATAAATCTTGGAGGAAAATTAAGGGCAGTTATGATAGAAGAAATGAAGTTCCAGTGCAAGGAACCAAAAGCCTTATGTAAGTCAATCTTCATAGTGCATCTTGGAGAAATGGATTTCCTACCATAACCTCTAACAATCTCCTGAGCGAGGAGGAAATTGTCAATGATGTTGCGACCTCGGATAAAAGCAGTTTGATTCAATGATATAATCTGAGGGAGAAACTCAGTCATTCTGTTGACCATAATTTTAGAAATAATCTTGTAGATAACAAAACAACAGGAGATAGGCCGGAATTCTTTGATAGTTGCGGGATTTTGCACTTTAGGAACAAGAAAAATAATAGTTGAGTTAAAACCCGGACGAATATGAGAATTGCAGAAGAAATAATTAACAGCCTCAATTACATCATCACCCACTATAGACCAAGTTTTCTTGAAGAATAATGGAGTGAAGCCGTCCGGACCTGGAGCCTTATCATTGCCTTGGCAAAAGATGTCATTATGAATTTCATCATTGGTAATATCCTTCACAAGAGCAGAGGCAGCTTCGGTAGGCAAGGAGAAATCAAGAAGATCCTTAAGGAAAAAAAAATTAATATCCTTAACCATAGGATCAGAAGTACCAAGAAGATTAGAAAAGAAAGAAGTTACTTCATTGGCCATGGCATCAAAAGTTTCAAGCCTATTTCCTCTTTCATTAACAAGGGCTCTAATGGTATCCCTTTTGTTTTTAAAAGCCACAATGGAATGAAACAATTTGGTATTTTTGTCACCATCTTTAATCCATTGGACTTTAGCCTTTTGTTTAAAAAAACATGATTCAGCATCTTCAAGAGAGTTCAATTGTTGCTAAATGTCAAGCTCCTTCTGAATGTCTTCCTCACCTCTAAGAGTAAGGAATTGCTGATTTTCCAACTCCATACGCTTAGATTTGACTCTATCAGAGATGTTGCTAAAGTTTTCTTTGTTAAATCTTCTCAGACAATCTTTAAGTCTCCTAAGTTTTGTAAATAGTACCATCATAGGATTTCCATAAGCATCTTGAATCCAAGATTGCCTTACAACATTGAGGAAGTTCAGATGGCCAGCCTAAAGATTAAAAAATTTGAAAGGCTTTAATTTGATATCCTTGGAGTAATATCGTTTTATGTATCGATTGATGTGTTTGATATGATAAAAAATATAGTTTCTTGGATATCTTTGGATTAGTTTTGTTATGGATGATAAATAAATTGAATCAAATATGATTACACTAGCTTAGTCTACTGGCCTGCCAGTTTAATTAAGCTCCTCTAGTTTAACCATTTATTACGCTTGAGTCGTGTTCTTAGTGGAACCAATTATCCGTATAACTGAAGTTGAAAATTGTTGCATTCAGTAAAATCTCTTTATTAACAATTCAGATTAAGTGATTGACTGAAATTCTGCATCCGATCTTGTATCTTTTCTATGCTTTTAAGGTTTTTAACGATTCAACCAGTAACAAAGTCTGCATCTGTATTGAACTGATGAAAAATACCAAAAAATGGGAAGTCATTTATCAACTCTCTTCGATTGGACTGTGCTCTGAATCCTATATGGTTTTGGGTTTGACCACGTTTATATATGGAAATCTTAGAACTAGTTTTACTGTGTTTCAAGGAACATTGTATCAACTGTGAACTTAGATTGCAAGTTGGATCTTAAGCAAATTGCTTTGCAAGCATGAAATGTTGAGTATAATCCCAAGGTATGCATGGGATGGTTAAATTCTAGTTTTGTTTTTGTTAATTCGTGAAGCTTCTCTTTCCACTGCTAATATTTGGTTGCTAACCCTTCTGTTTGCAACGTTTTGCTACTGTCATTATGAGAATCAGGGAGCCAAAAACCACGGCTTTGATTTTTGCCTCTGGAAAAATGGTACTTCCATAGGAAATTAACATACACTCATTTGGTTTTTGTTTTCACTATCAAAATCCTTTAGTAAACAACTAGTGTTTGCATCAGTTGCTTGAACATAGGCGTGTTATCATTGTTCACTTATTGAATTACTAAAACAATTTCCCTTGCTTCTTCTGGTCTGCACTGGTGCTAAAAGTGATCAGCAATCTAAACTGGTAGCAAGGAATGTAAATATTCTTCTTTGAGATTCTTATGCCTTTTATTGTGTTTGTGAACTATGTTAAATGTGAAGTTAGCTGTTTGATATAATATTTACACACACACACACATGCTTATCATTAGGATAGAATGATGCAAAATGAAGTCCTATAGTGACATTATTTTTGTGCTTTCAGTATGCCAGAATCATCCAAAAGCTTGGGTTTCCTGCTAAGTTTAAGGTTCTCAGACAATTCCTTTTCTCTTGTGCAAACGATGCTCCTCAAATTACATGTATAGACTACAGACTAATATCTCTTCCTTTGATGGTGTTTTACCCTGCTCATTTTTAACCGTTTTTGCTGTGATCGGCAGGACTTCAAAATTCAGAACATTGTTGGGTCATGTGATGTCAAATTTCCTATCAGACTTGAAGGTCTTGCATACTCCCACGGTGCATTTTCAAGTGTAAATGGCATTCGATATTTGTTTACCTGTTATATAATAATATGGATATGCATGTTTCCTTTCCAGGTATGACTGCCTGGTTGTCTGTGCTCTTCTTTGCGTGTGTATTATGCCCATACAAAGTTTTCCTTTTCTTTGTGAGCTCCTTGAGTTTCATATGCGGGCCCTTATGGGTGTTAAGCCGAAGGGATGGAGGTTAAAAATTCCGGTACAAAGATTTTAAAACATAGATTTGGTTTCTGGTCTGGATGAGTTCTAGATAGTTACTTGTGTTTGTTTCCTTATTCAATTTCTGATTCCTTTTGTTTGGTACAAGGATTATGACTCATCTTTGGTGTTGTTTTAATGCAGTATGAACCAGAACTCTTTCCAAGTCTGATCTACCGAATGAAACAACCAAAGATTGTGCTACTCATTTTTGTGTCAGGGAAGATTGTGATCACTGGAGCTAAGGTGATTGCATTTGGGCCTTCGTTCATCCATTCTGTATTCTATGTCCGACTGAATTACTAATTCTCTTTGTTCTAGTGAATCAGGTGAGAGATGAGACATACACGGCCTTTGAGCATATATATACATTCCTCACAGAATTCAGGAAGAACCAGCAATGGTAGGAAGCTACACTTTGTTCCCTCTCTGAAATGATTGACCAATATTATATATTTATTTCGAGCTTCACTTTGACTTATCTTTAAACTTGCTGGCAGATATACCTTCGAATGGAACTTTGATTTGATTAGGTTGTAGATAGTAGGTTTTCCTCTACCACTGTTCGGACTTGGATTCGAAGTGTTAATATATGAAGAGTGGAGAGGTTGCTTAAATGCATCATTTAAGCAGTAGTTTGTTAGGACATTTCGGTCCCAGTGGTTAAAAATGTCCCTTCATCTTTATGTATAATTGTCGTGACATTGATATTGCAATTTTTGATGTGATATGAACAAAATTTATTAAAAGAAATCTGACCTGAGGTTGCATTTTTAGCTTGATGAAAATCTTTATTGTTAGTTCGGTGAGAGTGCTATTTTTATTCATATTTTAATACACTACTATCCCATTCTTATATTAAATCAATATATATAAATGAAAGGGTAAAGTATAGTAATGGTCACCCAACATTTAGTCCGTTTGCAATATGGTCCCTCAACATTTAGTCCGTTTGTAATATGGTCCCTGATGTAACTGTTGGGGGACCATATTACAAACGGACTAAATGTTGAGAGACCTAAATGAAAGCTTTAGAAAAGTTTAATGACCATTACTATACTTTACCCTAATTTTTACTATCATTCTAAATAAACGAATAATGAGTATTTGATAAACCCACTACGCGCCTGGCGGCCGACCCAACCACCGTCGGCCCCTGGTCTCTGGGGCCTGTTTGCCTTTTAAGCTCCTTTTCTCTCCCATGCTAATCCACATTAATAACAGCTGAAACTCTGCGTTTAGGGAGTGTAGCTACTTTTAGTCTTTATTCTTGAAAAATGATTTTTTTTTCGGGTGTAATATGCAAAAATTAATCGTACAGAATAGACTTAATATGTAGAGACCATTTTGCCCCCAAAAATTTGATATTTCCCGAAACGCAACAGAACTAATTAATTAAATAAGATAAAAACACAACGGAAAATCGGAAAAGAAAAGAATGTGGAGCGGGAGCCGACTAGTGTTTCCTTGTACAGCCTCGGCTTCCTCACTGGCATTCCTACTCCCTTCTTTCACTTCTTCCACTCAACTCAGCTTCAAATCATTCCTCACCCATCGCCTTTACGTTTCTACGAATGGCTTCCTCGTCTTCCTCCTCTGTCTCCGACGGTGACGATATCAATCCTCCACCTCCCTCTTCTTCCAATGATGCCGCTTCCGCTAATGCGGCTGCTGCCCCCTCGGCTTCCTCCGCCATCGATTTTCTCACTCTCTGTCACAGTCTTAAGGTATTTTATATAACTACACAATTTCTTTTAATTTAGATATAGTTTTTATTATGTATAATATAAAAAAATGTATGATTGGTTTTTGAATGAATTTAAATGAATAGACGACGAAGCGTGCGGGTTGGGTGCGGAGAGATGTACAGAATCCGGAATCGATAGCTGATCATATGTATCGAATGGGATTAATGGCTTTAATTGCTTCTGATATTCCCGGAATTGATCGTGACAAGTTAGTCCTACTACCTTCCCCCCGAGTATTTGAAAATTTTCAGTTAATTCTTTGACTAATGTTTTTAATTATGTTTCCAGTATTTTTTTTAGGTGTGTTAAAATGGCAATTGTTCATGATATCGCTGAAGGTCAGATAAATAAATTGTCTTTTTAGCTGAAATTTGAATAAGTTGAAGTTAGATTTTTTTAATAAATGTGGGTTTTAACATTCCATAATCATAAAGTTGTATTTGTCTATCTTTTTTAGCAGCCATCGTTGGTGATATCACCCCTTCAGATGGTATATCTAAGGATGAGAAGAGTCGAAGAGAGCGTGAAGCCTTAGATCATATGTGCAAATTACTGGGTGGAGGGTCTAGAGGTTAACTAATTGTTCTCTCTTGTTATTTCTTGTTTATGAAAAAGGAGGGCTGGAAGGGGTGTGTGTGTGAACTTGAGTCTCATAATGATGTACAATTCAACATAAGCTTACTTGATTACAGCGAAAGAAATAGCAGAGTTATGGATGGAGTATGAAGAGAATTCTTCCTCCGAGGCCAAAATTGTCAAAGACTTTGACAATGTGTGTGGCGTTTGTATATTTATCTTTTTTCATTATTTATCAATACGTCGGAACATGTCAAATGGACTTTTTTCTAAAAGATACATATTAATCGTGAATTTGTCTATCTAATATTTTTTATTTACACTTGTATTATCCCCTAGAATAGATAGATGAATCAACGACTTAATACTTAATAGCATGCTTTATTGCCAGTATGATATAAAAAATGAATGGTTTTGTTACCAACCTATGATTTAATCCTTAACTACCAATCTCTAGTCAGTTTAGTTCTCCTTTTATTTTAGCATTAGACCTCAAATTATTATAATATAATCTCGTTTCAACTGATGTCGGCTATTTTTATAACTGGCTACCCATAAATGTAGTTTTAGTTCCCCAAAATTTTCTTAGGCTGATAAACAGTGTAATCTGACGTTGGCTTGTTCTGTTACATGCAGTTGGAAATGATACTTCAAGCCTTAGAATATGAGAATGGTAAGGCTTCATGTTCTCTTCTTTTTTCCTTTATTTTGTACTTTGCATATTTGCCCTAAGCATCTGTATTTATGATCTGATCATGATTGTAATTCACCTTACACATGTTTTTTTGGAACATAAAATAGTTTTAACCATTTCTCAAGAATATGCTATAACTTTCTAAGAATTAGAGCCAAACTATGTAAATCAAGTGTGGAAAGCATAGAGGCAATATAGGAGACAAGCTGGTTTTAATGGTCTTGATGAAATCTGAACACTAGAATCATCATTGCTGATTTATCTACTAAATGATGAATTATTTATATTTTCTCCCATAAAATTAATACAAGCAGTACAACCTAATGCTGAAAAGCATTTAGTTATCTTGTGCCACCGCATCTGATTATACTGCTGAGATGAAACAACTGCCTCTTCTATGCTGTTTATTGTGCAGATTTATGTCATCATATTTTTGTCTGCCCCTAAATCTTGGGATTTATGTGCTCATTCATGTTTGATCAACAAGTTTTGCTTAATAGATATGAGCATTTTAACAGATTATGCAAATTATTAATTTCCAATTACCTTTCTTGTTCAGTTTTTTTTGTGTTTCTTCTTAAATTTAAAGCCCTTTGGCATACATTACACTAGCTTTATATGGCTGATTGATTTATGCAACTGCAGGCTAGCTCTTGAGTGCAACATAATATGTTTAATGGACTATTTTTGTTCGTGCATTTCATGTGTTGTGGAAATCTGTCTAATGGTTCTAGAAAATTAACTAATTATTGTCCTTTAAATTATTTATAGTTCAAAACATGCGCCTTCTTTTAACTTAAATCACTAACTAATCTATGTGGTCATTACTCGAATTGTAATAATGTTTCATGGGAACTAATGTTTCGTCTGGAATTATGCAGAGCAAGGGGTGGATTTGGATGAGTTTTTCCAGTCAACTTCTGGTGTGTAATTTTAGGCTTCCATCTGCTTCTCTGTGGTTTTTATTTTTTGTTTTCTATGATTGTTTTTAATAAATTTTAAGACACAAAAAACACAAAAAGAATATGGCAAAGCTAATAGAATACGGCACTTTGATACCTAGTGGTTTTATAGACAATGCTTAGAAAAGGTTGGGAAAAAAAGAGAGCTTATAGGTTAATAATCATGCTTCAGAACTGAAGAGTGTGTATGGGACATACACTTAAAAGGTAAAAGAATTGTTTACACACTGCTAGTTTCTAAACTTCTATTGTGGAAACCATTTCCGACTCGCACAAAAAGTTCAACAATTCTCTTACACTTGAAATTTCGACCTCGGAACTGGGAAATGTTTTGTTAGTAGAATAGCTCACCTTAGCACACTTAATAATGCCAGGAGATTCAATAGATTTCTATCTTTATTATTGAACCTAAACATGCTTAGCTGTTATCTTAAACAAATAACTTGCAGTATTCATGAACAAACTTGATTTGAACTGCTAATATGGGTAATTAACATATTCACAGGGAAGTTCCAGACTGATGTTGGAAAAGCTTGGGCCTCGGAAATCTCATCAAGAAGAAGCAGTGCCGTGGCTGGGGCGGTGCGAGATGGGCGACCGTGCAAGGCCCCAAAAAATAGGGGCCCCAAAAAAGTATATCTATAATGGCGTTTTTCCAATAAACGCCACTATTGATGGACTTATTGCGGCTTTTATTGAAAAAATACTACTATAGATGGACCTATTGCGGCGTTTGTAAAAAAAAAAAGCCACTATTGTTGTCCCGAAATTGAATATATCTAGAAAATAGGGGCTCCTTTTAAGAATTTGTACAGGGTCCGGACGGCCTTGAGAAGAAGAAAACGTTAACCTACACTCGAAGAACCGGGTAACACATTTTTAGGCTGCATGGTTGCAAACCATTATTTTACCATCAGCTGGTTCTGGCATAGAACAGCTCAAAATAAGCTTATTTTTCCAGTCGGTAGTGCTCACTCTTTAATCCATATGATAATCATTACAATAGCTAGGCATCATGTTCCTTTCTCCTCTTTAATTAAAGCCTGCGGATTATGATGTTGTTGCGATTTCATGTGAGAAAATAGTTTCCATGATTTTTAAAATTCGGTCTTGGTTTAAATTTCAAACAGTAATCGTTAAATTTGTTCTTCAATTTGACTAAATTTCAAAATTTGAAAAGTATTGAAATTAAAATCAATCAAATCAAAATATAGAATTATTGGTCCTTTCTTCTTTAAAACTAGAATATGATTATTCTAGCTCCTACCTACGCAAGGATCAAACTGTTAAGCAAATGATTTTATACTCGAAATCTATTTTTATATAAAATATGAAATAAATTAAAAGTATGATAAATTAATTATTAAAAATAATTAAAATTCATCGTAAATAATACCAAAAAATAGAACAAACACATTTTTTTATTATTAATCTAGAGTATCCGTATCTATTTTGAATTTGTTAGTTTATTAATATATATATATATATATATATATATATATATTGACAAATACGTATTAAATTCAAATAAATGAATATGTAATTAGTCAAAGCTTTATACCAAAATTATAATATTTTAAGAAACAGAACAGTTAACAAAGCACATAAAAAGGATAAAATACATTTTTAGTACCTCAATTATCACTTTTATTATGTTTTGATCACTCTAATTGTTTTTTATTTCAAAATCATACTTAACATTATATTTGATCTAATTTTGATCACCCACTGTTGAAAAACTAATGGTGATGTTGATGTGTCATCATATGGTAATGTCATATCATCATTGAAAAAATAAAAATTCAACGTCAACAGTTCTATTAATTTTCTAACGGTGATGAAATCAAAACATAAAATTAGCTATTATTTTGAAAAAAAATAATAGTTGAGTGACCAAAATTGAAAAAAAAGTAATATTTGGGGTACTAAACATGTAGTTTACACTATAAAATATGTATCAAATTCTATTTGTAAAATAATACTAAAAAATAGTTTATATAATTAGGGTAAATTACAAATTTCATCATTAAACTTTACTCTCTCTCCTATTTTGCTCACTAAACTTTAAATGTTTTCAATTTTCTCACTGATCTTAATACATATGATTGTTTTGGTCACTCCTTTGTTAAATAATTAACAGTGTCGTTTAAAAAAGTGAAATTTTCACCAAAACGATGTCGTTTTGCATCTATATAACATTCCATTTATAACACTTTGAAAATGGTTGAGTGACCAAAAGATTCAATGTATTAAGTTCAATGAAGAAATTAAAAAGATCTAAAGTACAATAAATGAAATAGGAGAGAAAGTAAAGTTTAGTTACCAAATTTTCAATTTAACCTTATATAAAATGAGGCTTTAAGGCCAATTTACTTGAGCTCAGTTTAGAATATTTTACCGGCTCGTCAGGTTTCAAAGCCCAATCCATTTTCTTCGTTTTTTAGTTTATTATCAGCGAAAAAGATTTTTCTGGAAGGTGATTTTCTTTCTCTTTTTTAGGTTTAATTTTGAACTTGTCTAAAGCAATTCCATGCGGTTCATCTCGGCATATTTAATATATAATTAACCAACAGATTTGTTTGCTGGAAGTGTAAGGGCTGTTTCCGTTTCAGCGATCGTAAACTGAAGAAATGGTGCTGATTGAGCCTCACCCCACTGATGAACATCAAAATCAACAAGAAGAAGAAAAAGAAACCACGAAAGCGACTTCAGTATCGTCATTACCATCAGAAACGACGACGGGTAATCCAGCAACCGCCGCTGCATCAGCAAATGCCACTGGAGGTGATGCTGCCTCCGATGGATTCGAAACAGCTAGCGAACGTGACGTCAGCGACAGCGAAGAAGACGACCGCGCGCGCGATCAACAGAAAGGTCCCGATTCTTATCAAGATGCCTTAAACGACGACGAATTAAAAGAGGTTCGGTTTTCTCTCTCTCGCTCGCTCGTTCGTTCGATATTTTCTTATTTTGCCTAATTGATTATTGAAAAGAATATTATTTTCTAGAAAGCTTTGTCACAAGCAAATGATGCGAAGATGGAAGGAAATAAATTGTTCAGAAACGGCCAATACGAGGAGGCATTGTTGCAATACGAGATTGCTTTGCAAGTTACGGCGGAGATGCCTTCGGCCTCCGAAATTCGTTCCATTTGTCATTCAAATTGCGCAGTTTGCTTTATGAAGCTGGTATTTATTTATTGATTAGTTATTTCTTAAAGTTGAATTACAGTTTCTTTGAACTTGCTTCTTCTTATTTTTACATGTTTAAAAACCATATTATTTTTAGGGTAAAAATATGAGGAAACAATCAAGGAATGTAGTAAAGCTTTGGAACTTAATCCTTCTTATATTAAAGCTCTTGTTAGACGAGGAGAAGTTCATGAAAAGCTCGAACGTTTTGAGGAGGCTATTGCTGGTGAGCACCTTCTAATTTGATTGTTTGTTCCTTTTAGAAACATTTATTCGATGCAGAAGTGTTTGTGAAAATTCATACATTAATCTATTTTTAATGATTGAATTTGTTTCAGCATTATTCATGTTTGTAATTATTTTTCTTGCAAATTCCAGATATGAAGAAGATATTAGAATTGGATCCTGCTAATGATCAGGCTAGGAGGACCATTCGCCGCTTGGAACCACTGGCTGCTGAAAAGAGAGAAAAGATGAAAGAGGAGATGATTGGTAAGCTTAAAATCTATGTTTTTGTTTTGCCTCTGTATTACTTATCGGGTACCCGCATATCTGATTTTTGTTGTTCTGTAATCGTTAGCCGCTTCCTATAGCTCAATTTGTCCGTTGTCTAATATAATAAATCTAGTATATACTAAATCAACTTCTTGTTTCCAAGCATCTCATAAACAAATTTTGGTTATTTTGTTTTCTTCTTACTAAATGTTAACCGTAACGAATATCTAGTTTATTGGTTATTTGTTATCATCTCTAATTGAATCTGACAGACTTAAAGTGCAATATGTAGTTGATGAATACTGGTAGTTGAGTGATATTTGAATCTTGGATTTGGTGGTAGGCTTTGAAACCTAATTTAAAAATGGGATCCTTTTAGTATTTGATTCTAGTCACTAATATTTTTTTTTTCTGAGCCTTTTATCTTGCCAAAGAGAACTTGACATTTTCTTGCAATTTGAAGATCATTATTTGAGCCTTTTGCCTACTTCATGATGCTTTATGTTCCATGGTATGATCATGTATGTTGATCTAGCAAATTAGATCCTTTTTGGAATTGTTGGAGATAGCATACAGGGCAATATTTTATGTTGTTACTTTTGGCGTGCTTCGTTTATGCATCACTAACCATATATAAATGTACATTCCATGACAGGAAAGCTGAAAGAATTGGGCAACTCTGTTCTGGGTCGATTTGGGATGAGTGTTGACAACTTCAAAGCTGTCAAAGATCCAAACACTGGCTCATATTCTATATCATTCCAGCGTTGATATCATCACTAGCCACCAGCACAGCATGTGGTATATGCAGCGAAAAGAAAAAAGGAAGGCAACTGCTAGAATGACCCAAGATACACAGGCTTGTGGGGGAAAAAATAGTGTATTGCTTTTAAGGTAGGCCTGGGAATTCATGTATTTGTGTCATGTTTAGGTATTTTCTCGTCAGAACCATATTTTAGTTATTATAAATTTATATAATAAACCTTCTCAGAATTCAATAATTTGCATTATAAAGATTTTGGCATTATATTGTTAGTTTTTCTGTGTTATGTAATTTGCTTGGCCTACTTGCAAGAAAAACTGTTGGTCTGAGGCTCTGTGCGGTATGGACTCCTTTGAATCCTTAATTCAAAACAGAACTTAAATGTCCATGACATACACCGAGTTTATATCAACCGTCTTTAGTGCATTTTTAGCTCATCTTATGAATTACACCGGTATAGTTACAAAGAGAGTTGCAAGACTTCATCAAGCAAAAAGCATACTCTTTATTATCTCTATAGGTTAATGTTTGTTGTTTACAAGCATTAAAATTCCCTATAATTCTGGCATATGTTCGTTTAAAGTTGTTTTATGTCATTTTGTTGCTAAGCCATGACTGCCATTTTCACATATCAAAGGGATTTCCGGAAGGTTTGGGTGGATTGTACCCAACCATGTCCAATGTAGGCTGTTGTGTTGGCTTGGTTTGTTGCGGAGTCATGGTGGCCAGTGTCATATCAATTGAGGGTGTTGTGTTACTGCATCCGTTAAAAGTGGGAACCTGGTTGTAATTAGCCATGACAGAAGGGTTTAATGAATGGTAATCAGCCATGGCCATGGGAGGCCGCTGTTGCATGAAGTATATTGGGTGTTGAGGCATGGCTGACATTTGTACATTGGTTTGGGGTGTGATATAACTGCTTCCAAAAAAGGGATCCTGACTGTTGTAATTTATGCCAAAAGGGTTTGCCGACACTGGACTGAAGTTGAAGGCCATTTGCTGATTCGTTGCTAATAAACTTTGCGGTGTTAATCCGTTCGATCCGCCGGTCTGCATTTGAAGATATTGTTAGTGACAATCCAAGATGAACAAAAACCAGTGGAAATTCCTGGATGAATCTTGAACAAGTTTATTTTAAGTACTCAGACTAACCATTTGATTATCAGCAACAGCAGCTCCATTGGAGGTTGGTGAACCACAAAGTGCAAGCTCCCAACCTGTAGATGCAGGTGCTGAGCTCTCAACGTTTTCGGCAAATGGAGGATTCTCTGTTAAAATTTAAAACGGAAAAGATGATGTTATAAGTAATCGATTGATCGCTCCAACTGACATATCAGTAGTCAGCTCAGCAAAGACCAATAGTTTACCAGATTCGAAAATAGCTAGAGCACGGGGATTATTGTCAATCAGTTCAGATGTTTCCTCACTTGGTTCATCAAAGCTCTTGCAGTATGGTAGATAAGAACAAGCATGAGAAATTAAGAAAGACCTTATTGTTACCAAATGTATCATCAGCTGAAGAGAACTCCTTACTATAAGATCACCAATGTCAAGAGTTGCAACAGCCTTCCTTGTGTCACTCGAGGCTTGATTCGAAGATGCATCAGATGTTTCTCGAGCACCATCATCTTGGTTATCACCTGATAACAAATCAGGTACTGGAGCAGGGCTTTCTGTGGGAGGAGCACCTTCCTCAGCCTCTACCTGATAAAAAAAATGTTGCAAATAAAGAAATTCATGGTGTAGCTAATTCATGTTCTAGTAATGAATGTAGCGAGGGGCATCAACTATCTGACTTCAAGTTGCAACTCTGCAAATTTGTAATTTTCTTCATGAAGATGATTTCCCCCCTCAAAGTAGGGCAGGATAAGGTAGCTATAAAGAAAAATAAAGTGTTGAGGCATCATACTGATGTATAATATGGAAGTGCCAAAACTTCAGGGGTATCTTTCACATATTCCTCCATTGCAATCAGAAATGATTCAGGGAGCTGCAATTGTACATGTCATGGAAAGTTGAACAAAATCATTGAAAATTCAAAGAAACTACAAACTTGCAAAGTCATTTTTAAGGTCCAATACCGGATTAATCTTAAGGTACTTTTGCCCTTGCCCATAGTGAAGGCCCCTGCAGATCTCAAAGAACTCGGACAACTGTGATGCCTGCAGCAAGATACATGATTGCTTGTTATAAGGAAAATAAGGGGTCTAGATTATGAATGTATGGAGACTATACTAAACCGACAGAAAGATCTGTTTGCAGCACTGAGAGTTCTACCTGTTCTCCCGCCTTCTTATAAATCTCTAGGGCCCTAAGAGCATGGTCGCGCTGCATCTCGAAATACTGTGAGAAAAAAAACAGAATCCATTGCCTTCAAAGTTGCATCTTTGTAAGTGGAGAAACATGAGTTTCCATCAGATGACATTAACTAAAGCTTACCTTGTCAACCAGATTTAGAACTCCGTCAGTAATTGCAATGTACAATTTAACACTTTCACCTGCAATCTAAAAGAGCAAATCTATAAGAATATAGAATATAAACAGAACCAGAATTCTTTTTAGTTAAGTTACTTACAATTGATAGAACATAATGAATCAAGTGGCTGTAAAATGCTGACCCCACTGGCTGCAGAAATGACACGGTGAGTAAAGGAGGGAAAGAAGCAATGCTAAAAGTGTAGATGAAATGAAGAATTTATCGATGGGACATGATTAGAAAAAAAAAGAAAGCCTGCAAGGGTGTATACCTTGCAATTAAGAAGGCGACCGAGAAGCTCTTGCAAGACAGGTAGCTGATCTAACAGATCAGGGGTGTCGAGCCTTCCGTTTCTCTGTAGGAATGTATCGAATCCAGAACATGGCAAAAACAGTATTTAGAAAGGACAGTGAGAGAGTTCACAAATTATTCAAAACACTGCTGCAGCTTAAAGGGAGAAAAGAATCAAAATATTGAGTTCAAAGAGCATACGGACTGATCTTTATCAACATCATACTTCAATACATTGTAGCATTCCGAACGCTCTTCGAGATATAAAGCGTATTCCTGAACCCAACTAGAGTAGTTCCAAGCTTGACACCAAGAAAACCTCTCAATAGTCAGTTTTTATACTTCTAATCATAGCATTAAAGACCAGAAAAAGAAGAAGGTAGACCTAATAGATAATAACATACTTTCTGGACTCGAATTAGTTCTGAGATGGGATACGTTCAACAGGAGACCTCTTTCCCTCCCGATATTAACCAACTCTTGGTGAAACGAGGGGTCATGTCTTAGTATACGATGTATAATGATCAATGATTTCAATGCAACCTGAGTGCAACATGATCTTCTCAGATTCCAAGGGATATTGATTAATGCATATGCATGCTTGATGTGTAGATTTGTACTATGGTGAATGCAAAAAAACCGAGGCTGGTTACGAGATCGGGAAGTACCGTCCAAGTACGGGTTTTAGAAAGACGCTTCAACAGAGTGTGTATGCAAAAAGCGGCATCGTAACGATTCCCAGAAGCAGCCAAGATACCTGATGATAAGAAAGCATATTTATTGTCTAAAAGAATAGTGTTAAAGGCAGACAATTGCAGGCTTCATGCAGACTCAATAATAACCGATATAAGTTTCACTCACTCCTGACATGTTTCTCCTTTGGAACTTCTTCCTTACGGTCGGTCGCCTTGACAACGGCAATCTCTACTTCCTGCAGTTCATAAATATGACCTTCTTAAACACGATGTCAATCAAAATAATGCTCGATAAAGATTCGGGAACCGTACTTACCTTCTGACCACTGTTTACCCTTGCCAATCCAACCATTGTGGAGTCCTTTAGAGCCTCAATAGCTCTTCTGAAACCGTGTTGACTGCTGCTCGGCATTCTATTTCAACAAAACAAGTTATATTTAGCATTCAAAAAGCGGATGCACATTAATCATATTGACTACCGACAAGATTAAGGAGGGAGCAAACATAAAAAGAATCAGAAATTTTATTCGCAAAAGCAGAATTTCTGGGTCTCTCTTTAACGAATCTTAAGGTTTCAAACTACCTTCATCGAGCTTAATTATCAAAATCCCAAATAAAAAACTGTAACACCCCATTTCCTCCCAATCTTCTCCAAACCCTTCTTTTTAAATTCACTCTTAATTTTTCATTTTGAAAGATAATAAAAGCCTAATATCATGCATATTAACAGGCGACAATCTCCATGCAAATGATGACAACTTTTCAAATATACAGTATCAAAGTCCATATCGATCCCTTTCAATTGCCCATCAACCCAAAAACAAAAATGAAGAACAACCAACAAGGAAACGCATGATGCATGGGGGAGAAAACAAATAAGAGATTATCAAATATATGCTTTCTTTGCATGATTACCAATGTACGTCGATATCATATAATGGATATTTACAAATGACAACGATTGTTGGTTATTACATTGGAAGTTGACGACGGAATAGGGAGAGTGCGAGGTGGTGGACAGGGCCCCCCAAAAGGCCCCTACAGAGTTGCCGATGAGCGTCAGAAGATGATCTGGTTTAAGCCTAATAAGTTTTAGATATACATGACCCCATAAATATCGTTGCCATTGCGTGACGGCTCTTTCTAATTTTGACACTCCTTAACCCCTTTTCTCTCCTCCATCACACATTTTGTTTTTCGTTACAAGAATGTATGGCATGGATTTAAATTGGTTAAATTAAAATATAAGGATTAAATTTGGTATTTATGCATAGTAAGCATACTATTCATAGAATTTAACCTTTTAAATATAAAAGAAATCGAATACAATAACGATTTTGATAAAAAGAAGTTTAAGCATCAAATCTAACTCTAAATTCAAATTATGATACCAAAAAATATATTAATCATTATATTCAAATCTACAAAGCTTAATTATTTGGTATGATGCATTGTAGTTGTATATTCGCTGAATGCTCGAGTTTATCAACTTCACGAGGCATAGTATGATAATGTGCAATATCACCCCTCGAAAAGGTTGGGATATTAATTACACACCAGGAAAAAAAAATCCTAAAATTTACGAGCGGTCGTGTTATATATTCTATCAGACATATTTTTTGGAAGAAGATAATGACTCTGTGATAAGTAATACTAAATCGGTTATTTGTTTGTATGGTTTCACGTTAAATACCTTAATAAGTAGAGATAGACAGAGTGGACAACCGTCACGAAGACGTCATAAAATAATTTTTTTGGGAAGAGGACGATAGTTATGTCACAAGCTTTGAGAAAAATCTCAATGCTCTAATTTGTTGGTTTGGACGCAAATTCATACATCATCATAAAACACTTTGATGGTAACATTATTGGGTGAATTTATGTATTTTCATTCATAGGCTAAATCTAGGTATAACATCAATTTGTAAATTAATGTACATTTTTTTATTTATATTGTATTTTTTATGCTAAATGTCGGAGTTCTGAATCATATAAACATTTTAAATATGTTCGTATTATCATTTGAGAATATTTGTATTATCATATAAACATTTTTACGCTAATTCTGTTCATTACTAGAATTGGAATATGTAGTAAACAATGGTGATCTTGTAAGGCCTTAAGCATTGGAAGCTGGAGTCTAGTGTAAGTTTTTCTTCTTGGTAGTTTCTAACGTCTTTTTCTTTAGTAATCTGTAGAAAAGATGCAATATGTACTATGTAGTATGTGGTTGCCCTTTTCAGTTTAATATTGCAGATTTTATTTTAAGCCTTTGAAATGTTGTTTTAATAGGTAAAGGGGGAGTGGTTGTTGTTGGGTTTTAAGTACTATCTAATTTTCTTGTCTCTGTAGTTGGATTCTATACTTGTTAACTATCTTACTTTTTGGGGTTTATGTTGTAATTTTCTGTTATCTATGTCTTGGTTAGGATGTTGATCTTCCATTCCTCAATCACATGGAAACATTGGGTTGGTCTACTTTTAACATCTGTGGCTTACTTTTTCCCCTATCAACAACTTGCCCAGATGGCAAAACCTTCTTATGCTGATGATGGAGAGCTTCTTTATGGTGGATTTGATATGAGCACTGGCGGAATATGTGCGTACGAGTTTTCAATGTTTTATCTTATTTTCACCTTAGTTTCAATGTGTCATTTTGTTTTTATTTTCATTTTTTTACTTTCTTTAAATATAAGGAGGAGGTTGGTTATAAGGACCATTTTGACTACATATTCTAATTCTTTGTACATGAGGCAATGCATGTAATAGAGGATCACTCTCTTTAGGCTTAACTACCTTAGGTATCACTGTCTTAAGCTTTACAGACACACACACGTACATGTTGGATCTTCCTTTAGTCAGTTGAATGCCTTTTTCATCCCTTTGCACCTAGGGCAATATAAGAATTCTGGTGCCTAGGATGCACTTCCTTGACAACTCTGGAGTATAATAAAATTATATGCCAATGTTAGTCACGATGATTGTGGTTGGATATTGTTCAGAGAAGTTGATATTCATCCTATTTGATTCAAACACTTGGGGATAAAAAGAGGGGAGGGGAGGGGGAGAAGCCTTTTGTAGGGATGTGTACTTTTTATGTTTTAAACTGTGAAATCAGACATTCTTAATTTTCTTATCTGCAGAATACAAATATGTTCTTTAGCTTATTAGTTGGATAGTTTAAATCTTTCTGTTCGTATATGATATATAAGTCTGTTGAGTTATGAATCAATTCAAATGTGTGTGTGTGTGTGTGTCTGTATGTATGTACTAAATATTCCCACCTTACAGTTGCTTGTTTCTTGCAGCTGTTTACATGATATAATCTACATTACAAGTTTTGTGCAACTGGCATCCATTATATCTAACAAGTTTTGGTATACGTATCTTGTGGTAAGTTCTGTTTACGCGGTTACTCATGGAAATCAATCTGATACTTCCATCCTTTGATCTGCTTTTGGAATGAAAGCGTATAATTTGGAACGAAAGAATTTTTCTATTTTCATTTCACTAGGAGAATGTAATTTTGGTAGCTTAATATTACCTATGTTCCTTGGATGGTTATGGAGTTATTTGTTGCTTTTCAGATACCTGCGTTTGGAGCATATAAATCTTTCGGATTCATTAGTGGATTACTACCGTGAAATTCATATACTGAACGTAGATAGTATGATTGTTTTTCGATTAGGGAGAGGTGGAGGATGAAAAGACTCGAAAGAAAAGGGAAAAGATGGAGAGAAAGGCCAAAGCTTGTCAAGACAAGAAATAGATGAGCTTTGCCCCAAGCTCAGTACTTCAGTTGAAAATCCAGAGGTTGCTTTCAATAGAACTCAACTGGTACAAGCACAGAGGTTCCTAGTGAAAACATGATCCAGCCAAGGTTTTGTTACATGTATGAAGGAAACCATAGACTTGATTAGACCCAAGTTACACATGAACACAAAGAATTCTGAATAATTTATTGAAAATTCGTGTTAATTACATGTTAATTTCTTATTACAAATTACTAGGAGAGGGAGGATGATTTTATCTTCGCTCGAAGTTCAACCTGTTGATAAAGAATGCAAAAAGTGATGAAAAAGTCAAGGGATAGCAGAAGAGAACGGCTGCAGAAACAACAATGTGATGATCGCCAAACCCAAAATACTGCTCTAGCAAAGTAGCAACTGTTGTAGTTTCATTATATACCATAAGTTCATCATTATTATCTCCATATTGTGATGTCAGCAACAAGTTTAAAGTCCAAGATGTTGGCATTAAATAATACATCCAGATCCACCAGCTTGGTATTTTCTGCACAAACCAACAACGAAACTACGGTTCAAATCTGGACATATGTAACCCCTTTTCCTATCTTCAAACTATCGAAATCGAAGAACGATAACACAATTTACTCTTTTACGAGCAATGAAATGCAAATGAGAGTGTTTGAAGATCGAAACTAGAGTGGGAAAATACTTACCGGTTTAGGAAGCAAAAAGCCAGAGAAAAGATTAGTCAATGGATAGTAAGTAGAGGTTAAAGCTCCGGCTATTGCAATATTTGGTGTCAAAGAGACAAGAAGCATTCCTAAAAAGGTGAAGCTCAGCAGTGTAGAGAAGATGGCATAGAAGTACCAAAACACCTTATATGCCGTCACATAGTATCCTATCATACTATATGTGATTATCACAAACACTACAGCTTGTGCAAATAGGTAGGGAATCTCGATCAACACCTGCAATATAGGTCCGGCAATTGATTCATATTACTTTTACGTGTTATAATTGAGCTCGGCTATTATACATTAATAAGTTTGTCTATTCATGTTACCTGTGCAAGAGCATAAGACCAGGAAAAGTACATCCCTGCGAATCTTTCTCGATACATAACGACTCTCTCAGTTGCCACGAATGGTTGAACAGCTGAGCCGCTGTTATTTCCAAGGAACATCACAGCTCCATACATTGAACCAAAAATGTTGAACAAACTCTGCTGGTTGTTTCTGTAATGGGAAAAAAGATTGTCAGAGTTGATTTATTTGCAGAATTACTACCCATAAAAGTAACTTCTCCTTTACAAATTTACCCAGACTTACATTTTACTTCCTTGGTCCCAAAAGAGCATGCCTAGAGTCAAAGAAATTACGGTAGTGAACACGAAACGCATCAAGTTGTATGAAGGACTTCTCCAATAAGATAAATGCAGTTTCCATAGGCAATTTTTGACCTGTCCCCAATAGTTTTGGGCAAATTGGGTTGCAAAATGCACATCTCTGGAACCTGGAGCTGGTTTACTCAATCGCCCTACAAGCTCTTTATTGTTCCTACCAAAAATAAATCATTTGTAAGTTCATAAATATCCACTAATGCTACTGTCAACGATATACTCAACAATGTAAGCATCCTGGCTACTTATCAGCAATCTATATATCCGTATTGTGCTTGTGTTTTGTAAACTGAATCCTTCACCACAAAATGAACATTGGAAGGTCTAAATATGAACATGTATGTAAAGAGGAAATCATTGGCTCCTGGTTCAACTTACTCATACAAGGCAGAACTCTTGTAAATTTCAGCAAAATCGATTCCTAGTTCAGATTCTACTGAAGCTGAAGTAGCCTCTAGCATCCATGTCGCCGGGTTGCAATTATCTTTTATCTTGGGCACCCCAAGTACATTCTTCCATGAAGAATTCAGAGAATAGAAGTAATAAATAATTATGTCCAGAAAGCAATAAGTTTAGTACATTAATCAGAGAATGAAAAGGCCAAAAGTGGGCAACTAACCTCAAAATAATCTATAACATTACTTGAATTTTGTCCCAATGGTCCATAGTAGATTAAACTCCCGCCAGTTTTTAGATAAATCAACTGCAATGAACATTAACATGAATATGAAAGAGAAGTAGAGGACTCCTTTTATTCAACTTTTTCTATGTCAATCAAATAATTCAAGCCTCAGAATTGGATTTTTACCTCATCAAATGCTTCAAATATGTCAATGCTTGGCTGGTGGATTGTGCAAACAATTGTTCTACCTGTATCAACAACATTCTTCACAGCACGCATGACAATGGCTGCAGCTCTTGCATCTAGACTTGAGGTTGGTTCATCCATGAATATTATGGAAGGATTAGCAACGAGTTCCACAGCTATTGTGAGTCGTTTCCGTTGCTCAGTTGAGAGTCCACTAAGACCAGGTGTGCCAACTAAAGCATCCTCGATTCCATCAAGTTCAATGGTCTCGATAACTTCTTGCACAAATTTCTGCAAAATCCGGTAAAGCGGCATATTTAAGACAAATTATCTCCAAACTTTGGGAGCCAAATATCATCATTTCTCACATCTTTCGAGACTTACAGTTTTAGTTTTTGAATCAATACAAGCAGGAAGGCGCATCCAAGCAGAAAAAATCAAAGATTCTTTTACTGTGATTTGAGGAGAATGTATATCATTTTGCTCACAATATCCTGATATCCTAGCAAATGTTTCTTGAACTTTAGGATAACCATTTACTCTGATTTCTCCTTCTATGTATCCTATAGTTTTTCTCCCTGCAAGAACATCGAGAAGAGTAGTTTTTCCAGCTCCGCTAGGACCCATCAGGGCTGTTAGAACACCAGGCTTAGCTGACCCGGTGATATCTGACAGTATTTGGAGTTTCCCTTGAGCATATCCTTCTTTTAGCATTTCCTAACATAATGAAAACAATGCACCAATAATGATATCAATATTCTTGTGTCATCCAATGGCTCATAAGTAGACCTTATACAGGTACATGAATGTTTACAGTTAATGATGTCTCAGGTTCAAGTCTTATATTCCAAATCAACTCTTTACCTGAGGTGTGTCAACATAGTATTGTACATTCTGAAATGTTAATGTTGACGGATCAAAAGGTAACACCATCCTTGCTGTGATAAGAGACAAGGAAGTCACGAATACATAGTTTAAACGAGCTGCAAAAGTGATTCGAGGAAATGAAGATAAAAGAATGAACCTTTACTAGATTCTTTCTTTCTACGGGAGTGTGAAAAGCTAGACACATCTTCCATATCTGCACCATTGAGAGAATCTCCTTTCTTTACTGTGGAAAGATTTTCGTGTGAAATGACAACTCGAGAAGATCCAGGGGCTGAAAGAGTTTTAACACGAGAAAAATGAACAACCATGTATTTCTCTTACTTTGAAGAACAATGAAAAAAATGGGGAAAAAAAGTGGAACTTACACTTCAAGAAACTTAAGGCCAAAGTAAATCCAACGTTCCAAACTAAAGCAAACCCAAGTAAGACACCAACTGAAATCCAGAAGAAGTACTCCTCAAAGTAAAATCCATGGCTTTTCAGTGTTTCTTGTCCTATTGTAGAATTCATTGCCATGACCTGTAAAATTAACAAAAATGAAAAAAAGAATTGAGTACATTAAGCATATTAGAATAAGAAAAACAGCATGAAAATTGGTGTATTTAACAATAAGATAGTGTAGGGAAAAACTAGAAATGTTCATTACCCTTTGCCATCTTGGAGCATGAAATTCATTTCCTGAGAGCCCTATGGTAGCATATGTGAAAGGGGAAACCCAAAACACCCACCTCAACCAGCTTGGAATGAACGCTGTAACCAAAGCAATTAGATTAAATGAACCATAATCATCCTTGTTAGTTTATTTCATACTTACTAAGAGAGATGAGAACATTACATTGTGGGATGATAAAGCCACAAAATATCAATTCCAAGAAAAGTACAAGAGTGCCAACTGCTACTGAACAGTCCATAGTTTGGCAGATGGATGCCAAGAAACGGTACATGGATGCCGATGATATTTGCACAGAAAAATACACGAGGAACTGGCGGAAGAATCTGAATAAAAGGTAAAGGTTAAGAAACCTGACATATATTCTCCCAGGAGTGCTATCTGATAAAATTATTACTTTGGAAACTCGCTCACCTCCCAACTTCAGGGCTGTATCCCATTACATAATATGTAAGGGATGTCCAAACCAGGGATTGAATAAATGAAATAGGAATCTTTAAAATAATAGATGGGATTGCAAAAGCCCAAACTGGGTAGAAGTGCAACATTTTCTGTTTGTAGAAAATTGAGAGTCTTGAAACAGTCAAATGTATCTCAGGTAATTCATCAACAACAAGTGTCATGAGTGCAAAAAACATTCCTCCCAAGTAGTAATTTGCATGAAGGATATCAATGTCCATCCCACTCTTAAGAAACACGGTCATTGTCACAATTGCAATGATGATAAGCTGCCATTAAAGAAGTTTTTTATGTTAACAATCCATCAGCAAAAACTATGTAGACTATCTCAATTTATGTTTCCAAACTAAAGCGTAGAACATGATAAAATAAATAAATAAAGTCTTAACCTGAGTTAATTTGAATATGTACAAAAATGAGTTCCTTCTCATGAGGAGATATTCTCTTGATATGCAAGCTCTGAAGATTTCCCATTTTGAAACAGAATAGTCATTAAAGGAAAGAGCATGCTTGTGGCATTGAGATTCATCATATGGCTCTAAGAGATCCTTGTTTATCCGTTTTCCCAAGGGGGATTCTCTAAATAGCTTAGAGAACGTATCAACAGAAACATAGGAGTAAGGTAACTCAGTATTATACCAATATTGTTCTTGATCTTTCCTGGATATGAC